CCGTAGCTCCAACGAAGACCTATTCGTTGCTTTGCAACGAGCTCGGCTCTAGTTAATGTAAAAATAATTGAAAGTGCACTTTAGATTTCTTTGCAATACATGTACTTTTACTAATTATTCTACACGTTTTTTTAATGAAAATAAATGCAGTCTTTCCTACATTGAACTCATAAAATTATGAATGTGGATAAACCGTATAATTATTTAATTTTCTCAACTCAAATTAAATTTTAGGTTTGAATAGAACAATTGATTTAATATATCTCGTGAATGTAATTAAATTGTTCTGGACAACTTAAAAAAAATTATTATACCTTTGGTGGCCTAAAGCTATCGGCTTATATTTGTCCACTATCTGAAACAGTAACCCTAATTTTCTTGGTTTTTCTCGACTTTTCTAATAATTTTTGAAAAAAAAACATTGCCAAAACTTTTTGTACTTGCCAAAAAAATCACCAATTTAGTTAAATGATACTAATAAACTACGATAGCCTGTATTTCTTCAACTTTAAGATTTAAGATATAGAAAAAGACGTCTCTCTACTACTATAATAATCACAGTGAGATCAGTAGAGACTAAAAATTTTGGTCTGGTGCCTCTATATGGATCTCGCCAAGACTACTATCATAAAGACCCCTTGGTTTTATTTCTAATGATAAAACGGTGTCAAGACATTCATTTTCTTAACTTTATTTAATGATTTTATGAGTGTTTAAATCGTCAGAATCCAGGAGCTTACGGGGGCTTCGCCCCCTGGGCCCCCACCAGGGCTTTGCCCTGGACCCACTGGGGACCTCAGGGCGGCCCAAAAACCCCTTGCCAATTTTAGCATGCACTTCATTTTGAGTCTAGCTACGGCACTGTTTTTGTTTAATTTTCGGTTTTTAATTTCAATGAACGGTGTTGCTGTGGTGACTAAAAATAGAAATTTATTTGATATACTTTCCAACTGCTACTCGTCCTACAGTTTTGAACTGATTTTAATATAATGCAACATTCAAGTAGTCTACACTGAGATACACAATTCATTTAATTGCTTTTTTTTTTTTTTGAAAAATGATGTTGCCATGGTAAGTAAAATTTTAATTTCTGTAAAATTCTTTTAAAAGACTAGTTACTCCTACATTTCTAGTCTTACTGCAATATTGCCAAAAAAAGCACAACAATCATTATTCTGTTCATTACTGTTGTAAAGTTTCAAGTCCACCTGCTACTTTTCCTTTGTTATATGACCTAAAGTCTCGACAGAGACTTCTGTTTTTCATGTAAGAGGACAAGCACGTATAAATAGATTTTTAAAATGTGAATTAAAAATTCGAAACTTGGTGAATAATCCCTTTTATTCATATAAATGGCAAAGGAAAGTCGGTTGGATCCCATTAAATTCATTCTTTCCATTGTCATGATTTAGGTTATTCACACTGCATCTATCCCGTTAGTCGTCCAATGTAGCACCGTCTTTGATTCACAAACAAAATCGAATTTGCTAAAGTTAAAATCGTCTTGCCATTTCCACAGCAGTGCACCTCTTGCCCTAGCTCTGACTTCAAATTTTCCGTTACTCTTTGCACCAACTCCGAAATTATCGAATTCCATGAGTGTGTTGTCATCAAAATACCAGAGTAAGCCTTTTCTTGTGGCCTGGACCCATACCTCTGTTACCGAAGTGTCATTAACATGGTTTTCTAAGAAAGAAATGTTAATTCTTAATTATGTCATAAATTGTTAGCTTACCATGAATATATATATATATATATATATATATATATATATATATATATATATATATATATATATATATATATATATAAGCACTAAAAATGACCAACGACACGAACAATTCACAAATTTCACAATTTTTATTGTTCGTGTCGTTGGTCATTTTTAGTGCATTATATAAATTTCCATCCGTAACCTTGTATCTACTTGGTAGATCCGGCATTTAGGATATACAGTGTTGTTGGTTTTTTAGTGCTTGTGTGTGTGTGTGAGAGGGTGGGTGTGGGTGTGTGTGGGTGTGTGTGTGTGAGGGTGTGTGTGGGTGTGGGTGTGTGAGGGTGTGTTTGTTTGTTTGTGAGGAGGCTGTGATGAGTACTTCTTAAAAATAATAACTTACCGACAAAATTTGTAAACAAGGAGTTCTTTTCGGCAGAGTCTATTCTAATAAGGGCTCCTCCCTCGGTCTTACACTGGGCGTCGGCCACTGGATAGTTGACGGAAGTGGAGTTGTATCTAAAGCAGGTACTGGGGGCAACGAGCTTGTACCCAAGTAGGCACGTCCCTTTATAAAAAATTACATGTATACATAAACTAGGGGGGATTGACAAAGCTAAGGAAAATAAAAATGATTGGAGAATTTAAATTGCATTAAGATGGCAACTTTAAAAATGCTGAATGCTTGGAATGATCTATTCTATTTATAATTAGAATACCAAATGCCACAGTTTTCTCCTGTGTCACCTTGGTCCTACTATACCCCTAAAAAGATGGTTTAATAAAATGTTTATTCACTCTACATTTTTTGTATGCTAAAAGAGTGAATCTGATGACTTTTCATTGTGGCTCCTAAGACCTTACAAAGACAAAACGTGACCAGAAAAGCTTTAGATGACAAAAAACTAGCTCCACAATTATTAAGTTTAAGGATACACCAAACGTTTCAAAAGGACAAAATTTAATTTGATAGTAATTCTCTCATTAACTAAGATAACATATTAAACGCATATATCATTTGAAAGCTTGTTAAACGCTATTTAATGGTCGTAATTTAAATTTTATCTTGTTAAAAAATTATAAATATTTTAATGTAAATATTAGTGCATTTATATTTTATAAATCAACTTTTTTGTATTCCGCCCCTTAAAGTCAAAATTTTGCCTCAATGTAGATTAAAGATTGAACTTTAAAACTGTATCTAAGATTTTTGACAAATCTTCTTATTCAAGAGTTACATCCATTTGTCCTTCAGTGTTACAAAGGACAAGATAGGGTAACAGCCGAATCTGGCTCCTTATTTGATGTAAAAATCAGAACAATGGTCGAACTGTGATAGTTTGTAGTTCAGAAGTTAAAATGATCCTCACTTTAATACAAGCACTAATTTTGATTCAAAGCTTACATGAAAGCCACTAGATGGCGCAGAAATAGGGCATTTTCCAGATTTTCCCCAAATCTGGTGGAATTTCATCATATTTGGGATATATTTCTCTTTGGGAAACATAGAGCACAAGCTTGCCTATCTGAGATTTTTACACCTAAACTGCATCTGGTATCATTGTATAAAATATATAAATTTGGTAGATAGGCAAGTGTGTGCTCTATGTTTTCCGAAAGAAAATGTGCTGTAAAATTGAAGAAAATTTGCATAAAAATGAGAAATGTCAAAAATTGACCTATTTCCTGACCTCACTGTGACCCCTGTATATTCTAAATCTTAAAACCATTACTCATTTTGTGGCAGGGGTGACAACAGGGTTTTATGGATAAACTATTGGTTCATTCTGAAAGACACCCAAACTTGGGGGCCAAATACTGCTATTACCCTATCTTGTCCTTTATTAGCCAAATTCTACATTTCCCCTAATAATTCAAGAATTGAGCAAGGTATCAAAACATCTGAGATACGGTTTTGTGAACACACATTTGAGACACATTCTGGCCAGTTTTCAGAGAAATTGTTCGTTAAATAAGGGATGCTGAATCCTTTGAAATAATACCACCAACTGTCTGTTCTTACTTTACAGTAGAGGGCAAAAACCCATTACACAACAAATTCTGCCAAAGCTAGAAATATATCACACCTTGGAGATTCAGCTTTGGAAACTGTCACTTACCCATATTTCCTATGCATATTCACAAGAATGGGATGTTCTATTCTTTATTTAGGTGCTTTTAATGAAGTAAAATAGGTACAATTCTGAATCAGAAAGATTTACCGGTAAAATGGCAAGAGCTAAGCTCCATCTCCTATTTCATGGTCATTAGTGACCTGTTAGATCTCCTTCCCTAAATCTAGAGTCTCTGTAGTTTAATTACTGATAACCTCTGTGTGGCTAGTGAAGAATTCCCTAAGTGGTCACAGTGATTTATTGCTGGTTTTAGAAGCAGACAGTCAGAGACCAAATCAGAAGCTTCAATAACGGCACATTTACATGTGTTAGTGTTTATGTTATATAATTGATTGTTAAATAATTAGAGAACCATTTAATAATCAGCAACAATTTTTCATGCATTATAACAGTGATTAGCATTTTAATTAGTGATTTAGCCAAAAATCTCAAAATTAAGAAAAATCATGAAAAAGGCTTAAGCCTTTGGTGTAACATTAAGTGATCAAATTAAACAGACTGACCTAAAAAAAAATCCAGTCCGTTTTTTGACATCTTCGAACTATTTCTTCTATACAAAAAAAATAGAACTAGAGGTCCATGGGCCACATCATTCACCTGAGTAACTTTGGCAATGCTATTCTTGACCAGATTCCCTATAGTGGCCCGCCCTACCCCAGTGGGTTCTTGATTTTAACAATTTATAATCTACACTATCCAAAGATGCTTCCACATAAGTTTCAGCTTTACTGGTCCAGTGGTTCTTGAGAAGATTTTTAAAGTTTTTTCTGATATATTTCAATAAAAAAATGGATTCCTTTTTGTTGGTCCGTCCTACCGACGGGGTTACGATTTTAACAATTTAGAATTTAACACATAACTTTCAGCTTTTCTGGCCAAGTGAATCGCAAGAAGAAAAATCAATTTTTTTAATGACCCCACTCTTTTTTTGTCTTATCTTGATTACCCACCCTTGTAGGGGGACTAGGCCCTTCATTTTGACAATTTAAACCCCCAGGATAATTTGTACCAAGTTTGATCGATATTGGCCCAGTTGTTCTTGAGAAGAAGTTCAAATTGTAAAAAGTATACAGACGGACGGACGACGGACAATGGGTGATCAGAAAAGCTCAATTGAGCTCCAACTCGGGTGAGCTAAAAGAAAGGTTAATATCAGGAAATTTCTAGATCTATGTTTCAAAATATTATCAATCGTGTGTTGCTAACAAATTCTTTCTCAGTTTCTATAACAAAACATTCCTTACAATTGTTGTTAATAATCCTCCTGGCTCTGAAATTGAGATCATCGAAAATTTCGTCTATCTATACCGCAATTTTGGTTTGCAAGATAATTCGGTCTAACTCACTTCGTTCAGATGTCATCTGTGAGAGTACTTCATAGAGGAGTAGAAAGGGGATTTTTTTAATCTTTCATTTTCGCGATGAAGGTAAGAAGTTGGAATAATTAATCCAGAACTAAGCAAAACTTGTGCGCAATAATTATTCAATTTATCAGTATTTACAATGGGTGGTACTACAGATCTGCAGCTATTAATCGTTAAGCAATCTAAACTTTGAAACACATAGTATGATAATGTTATAAACTTTGAATTTACTATGATATTTTGACTGAACACTTCCAGTATCACAGGAAACCGTATATCCAAATGAAGGGGAAAATATCTGACCATTCTTTAATGTTTATATTTTATGAAAGTATAATGTATAAAATTTACATTAAAGAAGTAATACCAGTAATAAATAACGAAAAAAACTCCCCAAAACTGTCAAATGAACAAAGGAATCTTCCTTTAATGCCATTGCCTAGAGTTTTGTTTTGTTTTCTAAATTTGTACATATATACATGTTTTTAGATAATTAATAACTTAATTAAAAAAACAGCAACACTGAATAGTCTTAATTTTAAATTATTTGTGAAATACTAGTAAAAGGTTTTAATATTTTTCTTAGGAAAAAATTGTCTTACCGCCGACGTAGGTCTGCCAGTTCCCTGGCATTGCCACCTCAGAGTCCAATAAAGGACTAGGGCAGCACACACACGAAAGTGACGCCTTGTCCCAGCTCACGGCATGAAGTACGGCGTAGGAATTAAGGCACGCTGCCAGGCACTTGGTTGGACGCGAAAAAGTCGCAAGACGTCTACAGGATGTTGTTGGGTTTTCTAAGACCTTTTCTGACCAGGAATATTGAACATTCGTAGTTAAAACCTGCCTGATTATGGTAAAAGAGAAAAGGAATTTTAAAGTTTGAATCATTTTGAACATTTTTTCAACAGCTCTCGCTGATTGCTGCAGATGATTTGTCAGTTATTGCTGGTGGAATATCGTTTTAAATTCTCTACCCTAGAACTGTAGAAAAAAAATCAAGTAATTGAACATTGGATAGATGAATACTTGGTACAGTACTTGGTACCATAACAAATTAACCCCTTCACTTCCCCCTACCGGTCAAATTGACCGGTGGCGCGTAAAACACGACTT